TTCTGGGGATGGGTTTAGAGATCTCTGCGATGGTCCTCTCGATCTGTCCGACAGAGCAAAGTCGAAACCTAGCCAAACAACAAAACATGAACCTTCTTTATTCTCACAAGAGGGAGAGGGTGTAAACAAGAGAACTGACAAGGAATTGATGCAGAGTCTTCCCACACTGGGTCAAACTGCATCGCCTCCCTCTTCTCGATCCTTGGCGCCATCCTTACCTCTGGTCACACAACAACAACAAGAAGTTACGCAACACAAACACAAGGTACTTAGACTAATTAGTGAATGATGACAAGAGATTGTCTGGTCTGTCGTACAATGTCTTACGCCAGCAGGTGGTAAAAGAGAATGCGGAGCAGAAAAAGGAGGCCGATGAACAGACAGAGCAAAGCAATGGAAAGAAGGTCCCTGCCCTCACTATATCATTACGTCCAGGTAAACGAGGTTCATAAATAATTGAGTTGGGAGCCATGCATTGATCTTTAACGCAGTCATGTCTTGTTTCTGGAACAGTGGTCGTGCTGGAGAGTATAAATTCCGCTATTCAAATGCAAGACGGTTTATCAACAAATGGCAAGGTAAGGTGATGCTGAGACCTGCAGGTATCTTTTCGTATGAAAATAAGTTGAGGGGCACCAGCTACACATGAGGAAAATTTACGCTACTTCAAGTTTTCCGACACACGGTTTTGTGGTTGATTCCTTATTAATCTCCGTGTCTGATGGGTACTTGGGGGGAGACAAGGATCGATTAACTATTACCAGCCATTCCTTGATTATTTTTTTTTTTTGGCATGTCAAAAATGTGGTTGTCGGTGAGCATAAACTTGCGCCGAATTGTGACTAGATTCCAAAATGATGAGCTTTCTCCCATCGCTGTGCCGAAGAAAAGTGGATGAACCATTTGACCAAATGCTGCGAGGAATGCTGTTGCTTGTCTATGTGTGTCTGTCTCTTGCCTTATGTTATCTGTGTTCTACACATTCACAATGAACATGTTTGGCAACAGGAAACTGATTTTACAAGTATTTCAATAGGAAAATTATGATATCTGTCTCATCGCAGTCATCTCCGCCAGCCGTCGAGCCAAAAAGCTCGGAGGAGCAGGGGGAGGAAAGGGAGGAAGATGAGGAGGAAGTGGAGGAAGAAGCAGCAGGGGAGGAGGAGGAGGAGGAAAACGTGTCAGAACAGGCAACCAACCATGGCTACAAGAGGAAGAAATTATTCGTGGACACAGAAATGGACCAAGACTCAGACACTGACAGTGAGCATCAGTTTCAAGTCTAAAGTTAGCTTCTTGCCCACACGGATTTTTAAAATTCTCTTTCCTCACTGTCATAGCAAAAGCAAAGAAGGTCAAGATCACAGTAAGAGCTCCGGAAAAGAACTCCAGCTGACGGGAGCGGACTGGAGCTCTATCACAGGATTTAAAGGAAGATTATACTTGCAATTGGGGATCCATAAAGTACTGCAGTACATTCTGAAGTTTTAAAAGTAATTCGAGTTAAACTTGAATCCATTGGAAACCATCTCCTAAATTGCACGCAAATGCTGGGGTAGGCTCTTACCCAGTCAGATTGCCCAAGAAATCAAAAAAAAAAAAAAAAGAGACCCATAAAAGCTATTTCAAAGCAGTCCTCAAAAGCCATGCAAATAGCCCCTAAGTGACTATGAGCAATATTGGCCATGACAACAGAGCACGTCAGTCCCCAAGTGTCTCAAGAGTAAAGCTCTCTGGAGATACTTGCAAATTGTTACCATGTGACTTACTGTGGCTTGTTTTCTCAATGCCCGAAAGCACTCATGACACCAGCCATGTAATTTATGCAACACTATAACGGCAGAGAAACTTTCACTGGGACTTGAATGGTTGCAACGAGGCTTATAGGGAACACTTTTCACTTGTCATTTTCACTCATCTGTGTCTATTAAATGCACTTAAATGGTGAGTGGGCTTTTTCATGTAAAGCGCCAACACGTTACTCTCAATGCTTTCACATAGCCTCCTAACTCAACCACTAATGGCACAGCATTGGGGGCATCTGTGAGTTTACTATCTTGCTTTAGGAGACTTTAGCATTTATATTCTACAATAATTAGAAAGAATAATTCGATACCACATTTGGCTCTGTCGCAACAAATCGAGATTTGTAGTATCAACGCTATACTTTGAGGCTCCCTCAAAGTCTCAGTACATACTGTCCTCTTGTTTATGAAACATGTTTGGAACTATTTCACTTTCCTGGCATTGGTGTCACCACTTTAGATCATGAAGTCCCCCTCATGTTGCCTTGAGAGCCTTAGGTGGCCCAACAAAGGGGAATAAAATGAGTAAAACAACTTCCTCTTCCTCTTTTTCATTTTCAACATGCACATATTTTGCAACTACTAAGTTTCCACTTACAGCTGTGACAGCATCTGTTCATGCGGAAGAGTGCGTGTGATAAAACTACAGTTAGGTTTAATGATAGACTGCTGCAATGTCACTGTGGCTGTCGTCCACCTCGACCGGGCTCAGTCTATTCGCCGTGTCATTTGTAATTCCATAAAAGCAGTCATTATTTTTTTGTTCGCTCTAATATTTGCACTTTTTGTTTTGAATTTTGTATTTGTGTGCACTTTGTGTGAGCGACCCTGATGCTGTGATACTGAGCTGGTCGTCTTTCCAAATGCATGAGCAAACATGATGTGGATGAGTAGTCAATGGTTTCCTGTTGTATTTCAGTTAATTAAAGGTATATTGCAAACTTACTGTTGTTTATTTGTCTGTTTATTGTGATACAGTCAACTACAACTACAATTTACTGTCTATACACTTAATATACTGTATGTTGTTTGGATTCACTAAATTGTGGTGTTCGGGTAACTTTTGTCAAAATAAAAGGCAACATAATGCAGACTATGGGAATTACTAAACAGAAGTAGCGGCCCAATTCATATTTTAAGAAGGGGATTATGCAAAGTCTTGTGGCGTGATGATCTTTGATCATCAAGTTTCCCAGCCAGTCGAGTAACTTTGTTGAAAGGTGGTCATCTCTGTGCTCAGCCTCATCAGGACTTTTGGTTCCTTAAAGTTTTGAAGTTTTGTCCAGAGGAACTGAGACCGATGTGACCGAGTCTCCAATCCCTTATTTTATTTTTTAATAAGTGATGTGCACCTGTCAATGGATTATTTTTGGTCACAGTTTTTTTTACAGAGTGTCTATTAAAATATGGTAAGAGGTTGAAAAAGAATCCATTCAAGGATGCTGGTCAATATCCGTCGATTATTCGTACAGTATTTGAAAAAGGTAAAAATAATGATAATAGTGCCACATTTTAGACTTACTATAAAGGCAAGACAATATATTAAAAATCAATTTCTTTTATGTTCTTTTGGAATGGGTGTTACAAAAAAAAAATCACACAACGCTAAAGACAACACACAACGCAGATGCAGAGTGAATGCTTTGTTGCTTCTTAAGCCACTGTCACGCACAACAGTGGCGCTAGCTTGCACGATATACTGACATCACATGTTCTATGGAAGTGGTGAATATTTTTACGTGTTACAAAAAGCAAAATATACACCCACAATTAATAAGACTTTATTTGTGGCAACCATGCTTATGTTCTGCTAGTATCACTCTTAATATTATATTGCTCATCACAATACTACTAAATTGTATGTTTTGTGGGGTTTTTTTTTTTTTTGACCGTCATCTTTGAAGTCAACACCCCCCAGGTCAGCACTGACTCAACAGGCTTATTGTGGTTGAGGGAACAGGAGGTCATCAGCAGTGGGAAACAGCTGCACGGCCACAATTCTTTTGTCCTTTGACTCATCTTCTATTATCTTTCCACAATTTTAAAACTCTTACATTTTACCTTTCATTGCTTTTTCCCCCCTTTCTCTCCATTTCTCTCATCCCATTTAATTTGTGTCCTCATTCCCCTTTCACCCTTAGCCCCATCCTCCTCCGCCCCCGCTAAATTTCAGGGGAACTTCTAATCCTGGCTGCTGATTAAGGATTATGCTTGAGAGCTGGTGGTTTTCTCTTGTGTGCAATTGGTGAGCTGCTGTTGTGCCACTGTACCATCCATATGCAACCTCCCTCCCACAGCAGCTTGACCCCAGAAATATCTGTCAAGGCATCATTAAAAAACATGCGCGCACGCACACACGCACACACGCACACGCACACACACACACACACACACACACACACACACACACACACACACAATGTCCTGACAAATATTTCATTCTGTTTGATGCTTGATTTCAAACCCCTGGTTAAAAAAAAGAGTGGCCGGGTGGTCGACTGGTTAGCGTGTTGGCCTCGCAGTGCAGAGGCGCAAGGTTCGATTCCCGCTGCGTCCTTCCTGTGTGGAGTTTGCATGTTCTCTCCATGCCTGCTTGGGTTTTCTTCGGGTATATTCCAAAAAGATGTGTGGCAGGTTAATGGAACACTCGACCAGTTCAGGGTGTCCCCCGCCAACTACCTGAAGACAGCTTGGATAGGCTCCAGCACACCTTGTGACCCTTGTGAGGGAGGATGAGCGGGTCAGAAAATGGATGGATCAATGGACAGGTTCATAAAACTGGTGCAGCCAGCCATAATGTATGGTAGCTAAAGATGTTAATGTTCTCTTTTCGAGTGACCAAACTGAACTGAATTTTAAATGGGCTCATCAGAGGTACAGTCATGTTTAGATGTTTTGGAGACAAATTTAGAGAGACCGGACCTTGAACGTTAGGACACGTTCAGCAGAAAGATTGTGAGTTTATTGGTAGAAGGACAATGAGGATGGAGCTAGAGGGAGAGGAGGACCTGGGAGAGGGTTCATACTCACTGTATATATTGGAAGACGTAGTTGGAAGATTAGATGGGAAAGGACGACTCTCTGTAGCGACCTCTAACGGATTAAACCAAAAGACTAGATATAACGGCATTAACTATAATGGCCTACATATTAAAAATGTTTTCAATGCAAGAAAAAGTGCATCGTGAAAAACGGCGGTGTTGTTAAATATAATGAAAGCAAAATCAAACAATTAATGTAAGAGTGGACGATTCAGAGAGCTGGTTCCTCTTTTCGTCTGTTCGCTCAAGATTAACAGCAGCACACTCCCAACTTCCTCGTCCAAGTCGCAGTTGCTGTGCTCCTCATTTTGAAGCACATTGGCAATGGAAGCTGCTAGAACGAAATGAGGAATAATTTCGGACCCGGGACTCTGGCAGAAGAATTTTATTAAACTCGTCGTCATAGGAGTGCTCGTTTAAAGCGGCGGTGAGTGTTTTTCTTTTCCTTTTTTTTTTTGTATTGTGACATCACTGTCGAGCTAAGGAAGCCAAATTGTCCTAAAAATGAAATTAAACATTTTTCATCATCAGGTGTGATCAAAAATACAGTGAGTGAATTAGTTTGGAGTTTCGAGCGATTTTATCCTAGCATCAACAAAACGTTAGCGTGCACCTACCTGACTGATGCCTTTCCAATTTTAAACTTTTTTTTTTTAATCCTGGGAAAGATTCACACAGGTTCACTAAATTATCCTAAATTATCCGTGGTCCGTCGGGACGAAAATATCTGTGTTGAAAGAGTTTGAGTGTTTTTAGCACTGTTCCCATGTGTTGTCACAAATAAATAAATATGTCATGCAATAGGAGGCCATAGTCATGCACGAATGCACGATTTTTGAAAATATATATACATGTAGCCTATATTTATTTAAAATGGGAGAAATCCTCCGTGTGTTATGAAAACTTTTCTTAAAAAAATGCCAACATTACATCATACCCAAAATCATTATTTTATTGTCTCTTTTGCAAACTATAAAATTCCATGCAAAATTTAGTCCAATAACCTCCACAATTATGCAAAGGAGCATGTAAACTCCACGTTATTGGTCATTCATTCAACATTTTAGCATAAAAAGTCAACTAATGATGACTGATAAATCATGAAGACATTGCTTCTTATCTGTTCCATGAAACACAGTGCAACGTGTCCTGTAAACATGTGATTCATTCAATCATCAATTTTGTGGATCGAATTAAATCAATCTATGACAAATGTCAAATTCTAAGACAGGGGCTGGTCACGTCAGGCTGGTCCAATCACTTTACAGTTTGTGGCAAATGGCAATCTAAAGCAAATAAAGTTGTTTTTCTGGCCAAACTCTTTTTTTTGTATTTTTATTGGAGCAGATAAAATGCTGTTATTCTTCACTTTTAACAGATGTTACTTTTTTTGCCGAATCCCTTCTTATTATAAATCAAGCAAAAGTTGTAGTTTTTTTTTAAAGATTTATATTTGCTTTTTGTGATTTATGATTGCAAATTCAATTTGTTGTTAAAAATGTATACATCAATCAAAAACAGGAACATGTTAAGAATACTGTATTGTATGTAATAAGATTAGATGACTATGCAGAAAAAACATGACTACGATGTGGCCTGTGACTAAAACAAGTTTGACACCCCTGATCAACTGAGTTATGCTTTCGAGTTGCTGGTTTGAAGAAATGACTTTCACAATAAGATCGCAACCAGCAGAGGGTACAATTTAAGCCCAGCATCAAAACTCTAGTTTGCTGCCCAAAATGGGAACCAGGAGAAATCAAAAGAGAAAATAAAAGGGAATAGAGCAAAGTAATCACTAAATTTCAAAGCTTGTACATACAGGGGATCCTAATTTTTACGACGGTGTAGATCCAACCCGAATTAATTCATGAGTCTGATTATGTCATATAACACTAAACACAACAGTGAATTCGTAATTATTTGGATGAAATATTATTTATATTAATAATATTTATGTGAAAAACACTTCTGGGCCATGAAAATAAGACGAAGGTGTATTTGAGCATGGCGCCCTGTGCTGCTGCTTTGCAAATTACTTAAGTGTGCTCCATTTGTCACCTCCAAATCCCATTTTTGGGGGGGGGGGACCCTAACCACTCGAGCACCGGGCCATCACAAAAACCACACTAAATAAATCATAGCCAGTATTATTGATTATCTTAAAGTGGGCCAAAGTGACTGATTCAATGCTCATTCATCAGTCACTCACATTTTTAACTTCTATTCTTTACACACATGTTTAAGGATTTGCAACTATACAGATAATATGCCACTTTCAACCATGCTCCACAGATCAGTCACCCAGTCATTTATTCTATTTATACACCATTCATGGCATTTACTTACAATATACCTGTTCAGCCCTGCAGGTTCATTTAAAGTTCATTTAAATTCACACACGGTTCCTCCTCTTTTGTTTTTTCTTGTTCACTTGAATATCTTCATGTATCGTTTGCCCAGTTCCTATTCCTTGGTGGGACTTCCTTGGTTAAGCTCATCTGAAAGCAATTTTCCCTATCCATTTTATGACATGATCTCTCTCAGCAAAACACGCACATTGACACACAAATGCTTTCGTTTGCCAATGTTTCAAAAACGTCAGTGTTTTAGCTAACACTTGTACAAAGCTAAACAATATATTAGAAGGAACATAGCCATATTGTAGAATAGGATTAAATCATCTCTCCATCAATTTACAATACAATACAACACAAGTGATATATCATTGACACAGCAGGAAGTGGTGGATGATTCTTGAAATTATTTCGAGAGAGCCCCACTTATTTCCTTGTTGACGATATATTGGCTGGGAGTGCCAGCCCATGTGCCTTAAAGTCAACCAACTGCGCTTGTAAATGGATAGAACCACGAGACCCCGCACAAAACAAGGACCGATGTGTCAGGACTGACATTGCAATGCTCATTATCATTAAAATGAATGAATCGACGAAACATTCTTGGCATAGCAACTATCCCGTTGAAATGTGACTCATGGTGCCAGAGATGAAAAGTTGAAATCATCGCTAGTCTGTTTTTCATTTTAGGCACATTTTTTTTTGTCATTATTGGTTATTTTGACAAAATTTGTCAGAAAGGAAAACTTCTTTCAAACTTTTAATATTTATATCCAACAATTACAGTTTTTTTCTGATGGCTTCAGCAGATTTATTCATAACTATTGGCTATTTTTGCAAAACCTTTAACACATACTGTAAAACAAAACTTTTCACCAAAAATGTCAAAACATTGTAGTTCTCTTGCAAAAGCAAATAAGTCATGCTTAACTGTTAACACCTTTGTAAAAAAAATATTTTTGTATCAAACTACTAACACATGCGATTGCGATTTTTTTTCTCTCCTAGGGCAAAAGGAGGACTTGTCCAATACATAGGGGTGCTGAGAAAATAATTCCTAAATATATTCTACAATATCACATAAAATGCTGGAAGGGTCTTAACTGGGGGCTACACCGGGGTGTTCAAACTACGGCCCGGGGCCATTTGCCAGCCCGCCATCTATTTTTCAGCGGCATGCATGACAAAAAAAAAAACATTTGACATGGGCTGGAAGGTTAGTCAAAAAACATGAAGATGGGGAGAGTGAGAAGGGAGTGCGTACTGTTAAATTTTCTCCATATTCAAAGATACAAACCATTTGTGATTAAAAGGACAACACAATTTATCTTCACAACTCTGTAGTGGAAGTCGCTGATGGTGTAGTGGTACACTCGCCAGACTTGTGTGCCGGCAGCGTGGGATCGGTTCCACTTAGTGATGGTGTGGATGTGGGTGTGTATAGTCATTTGTTTCTACATGTGCCCTGTGACTGACTGGCGACCAGTTCAGGGTGTAGTCTGCCTTCTGCCCGAAGTCAGCTGGGATAGGCTCCAGCAACTTCCCGCTACACTCTTCAGGATAAGCGGTGTTGAAAATGGATGGATGGATGGAACACTGTGGTGAATAATGCTAATTCAATTTTGGAGGCAAAAAAAGTTTCTTCCATTTTGAGCTCTTTGCCTAATATATGAAAACATCACATTCATGATCCTCAAGTAACTGAAAAATGGACAGCTAACTACACTTTTTTTGTGTTTTTGGTTCTGAATGTGGAGATGGGTTTCGGCTGCTTTCAGTGCAGAGCTGGATCTGATCTGTGGGATAGCGGGCTGTTGGCCACCCCAAAAACTTGGAAAACCCCTCTACTATTTGCTTTCACACCTTTCACAGAAAACTGAGGACACTACAAACAATATATGCATATTTTCTTGACTGACTTAAGCGTGTTTAAAAAAGTTGAAGAATCTTAAAGTGGCCCTTTCATCCTTCTATTTTTCTGTATCCGGCCCTCAAACAAAAAAGTTTGGACACCCTTGGGCTACATAGATTTCTGATGGTGGGCTATACACACACACACACACACACACACACACACACACACACACACACACACACACACACACACACACACACACACTCTTTTGGTATATTCTCATCTCAACACAATGACCGAAAGTCTCGAAGCAGTTCAGTGTGGTTGTATGCGAAAATTTATATGACCACAGTATCTGAGCTGACTGGTTCTGTTCTTACACAGTTACAGTCAATAAAAACATCAAGCGAAACTGCACTCCAGATATCGCATGGGCAGTCAGCTGACTGCATAAATGTCAAAAGGAGCATTTGTCCTCTATATATCGTATCTAGTGATTTTCTAGTTGTCTGGCTCCCAGTCACATTTTAGACTTATCCTCCTGACTACCAGGAAAAAAAATGTTGTCCAATCACATTTATTTTGACATTCCCCAATCTATGTGAAGTAATTGGACTCCTCCAAAGAAATTTTTGAAATCCCACTACATTTTTTAAACAGGCTCAAATACACTTAAAACAACTCAAACAACACTTTAACGTGTTCATAAGAGTCTTATAATTAAAATGCCAACAGCATTTCAAGACAAAATGTGGTCGATAAAAAGTATTACTTTTCCTCTTCCCATAAAAAGTGCTTGCACTGAGGGAAGCCATTTTCTTACTTTTTGTAACCCCTACAAATTTGGTATCATTGGAAAGCACTGAATGTCCTCTTTAGAGTAACAAAAGGACTTAATGCGATTGGAGGCACTGGGTGGGAGATATTTAGGTTCACAAATGTCCTCTACAGAGGACAAATTTGAACTACTGGTAGTCAGGAGGATATTGGCGATATATACAAGACAGTATTGTACAATCAGAGATGGTTTAAAAAATCTCTCAAATAGGCATCTTACATGCTGTACATACAGGATGTGCTCTGATGGAGCTCAATGGATACTCCAGAACAAGAGCGTAATATGAAGTCATGATATACTCGAGTAGCATTTTAACAATCTTACAAGCCATAAACGTTAACCACAGCTATTAGTAACGTTTAAAAACAACAAAACTTTCAAAAAAAATATTGCAAAGGAATTCTTTGATGACATCTCAAAGTCTCTTCTGCTCTCGTTCTCAAGTAGGAGGACGTCACCATGGGCTGTGTGGGCTCAAAGGAGGACCGGGACTATCTTCGGAAAGGGAAGAGTGAGGTGCAGAATAGTTCACAGGCAACCCACTACGTCAAAGATCCCACGGTAGGAAATTCTAAAACTGTAAGCAGTTACTATGATAGAAATGTAGTTAAAATTAACACAAACAAAAAAAATAATAATCCAACCAGTCCAGTCGAAAGATTGTACTTTTTTTTTCAATAATGTGGGAGGAAACCAGAGTACCCGGAGAAAACCCACACGGGCACGGGGAGAACATGCAAACTCCACACTGGAAGGCCGGAGCCAGAATCGAACCCTGCACCTCTGCACTGTGAGGCGGACGTGATGAACCGCCATGCCGACCCGTCCACTTTTATCTTTTATCCTAAAAATACATGTCGTTATATGACAAAAAGTCCGCATAAAATTGTTGTTGGGTTGCAAATTAGGAATGGTTAGATTTGGGTCCAGGGAATTTGGACAATTGGAAGGACTGGGTAGCAGTGCACTGCTGCCAGCTAGTAAGTGTGGTTCCCCTGGCCGTTGCTTCCTGTCTTTCACACAAAGTGAAGAAAGGAGAATTGATGAAAGCAGAAGCAGAGCGTCAAAAAGGCTGGAGATGCGTGATTAAAACCTCACTATTAAGCAACAACCAAGATCACTCAACCTTTAGATGCAGCATGATATAGCGCACACAGCTAGTTTTACTTCCTGGTTGCTTTTTATATACTGAGCAAGTGAAAACCTACCAACAAGACCCAGATATTTAAAGCTGATAAGAATAAGCCCTTCCTTTCTGTCAAATATGTGCTTGTACTTATGTTTGTTTCATGTGTTACTATGTACTCAAATTCTTTTTTTTTTTGTCCACAGAGCAAAACACCCTCCAATGCAAACATAACAGATGGTTTGTACAACTCTCTTTTACATTCTTCTTCTGCTTTATCGTCACCCTCCACTACTTGTATTTGCATCCTCTGTAATGTATTACATTGCCTGGCCTCGCACTTATGCAACGTTGCTTGGCACCATGTTGGGCAGTACACACAAGCAAGCAAGTTCAACACGCAAAGGAAAGAGAGTAGTTTTGGCAACGGGATGGCATCCTATGTCATCGTCGCAAAGATCTCAGCACTAAAACGGGATGGTCAGTCACATGACTGACAAGTGCCTAATATTAAGTACAGTGGAACCTCGAATATTGAGCATCATTTTTTTTGCTGGATGTTTTTTGGCCACCTCAATATCCTATCATTGTTTCTGTAAGAAATACAGTAATGGAAATAGGAAACTATCACTATAATCTGACGTTTTTCAACTAAAGAGACAAATGACATTTCTTGTGCGGCGGATGGGCTCCAGAAGCTACCATTATGATTAACAGAGGCAGGTTTAAGCGTAAGAGGAGTTGACACTAAATATAAAGTATTTAGTGAGGGTGGCAGGTGAGGGTATGTGTGGTATTGACATTGCTATGAAACAAATCTAAGGATGGATATTCAACTATGAGCCCTCAAATATACACAGACGACATTCTCTCCTTCCATGTTGACGCAGGGGACACCATTGCTATCGCACTGTACGATTATGATGCCATTCATGATGGAGACCTTGGCTTCAAGAAGGGAGACAGACTTAAAATTTTGGAGGAGTGAGTAGAGCCACCAGTGACATATCTGCTTTCTGGCTTGATTCATTTATAGAAACGAATTTCAATCAATGAATATCCTTTGTTGTCTCTCTGTTTAGATCAGGGGAGTGGTGGCGAGCGATGTCGATCTCGACAGGTCAAGAAGGCTTCATCCCCAGCAATTATATTGCGAAAGACACCCTGGAGGCGGAGGAGTAAGTAGACTTACACAAGTAACACTATGACCTTACAATACAATAACAACTTCATCATTAGAAGGCTGATCTGGTTTGTAACAAGGAATAGAAGAGAATGTGTCTTTTGCTGCCATGGCGCAACTTTTGTGGTCTCTAATATTAAAGAATACACCCGAAGATTAAGGACTAATTGCCAACACTTTTTTCTAAGCATATCAATGAATTGCCTTGACGTCATGAGGTTCTGACAGTGTCGTCACTTTACAAATGTATTTTTAATATTATGAGTCAGAAGAGCACGAAATTAGTAGGGATGTGTCACGTTGCGCGGTGGTGGTGGACCCCAAAAAGCAGGCAGGAGGGAGGAGCAGGGTCAACTTGACAAGTTGTATTAAAATACTAAGGAAACGAAATCCAGAGCCCACAAAGTCTGGAAAACAAAACGAATCCAAAGTAGCAAACAAAAACCATGTCATAAGCTAAAAACAAACCAACAGAAACAATGACAGCAACTAACACGACAGCAACAAAAACACAATGACCCGACACTGAGTGATCGTGCTGGGAGTCCTTTTAAAGCACTAATTAGACAACGACCAACAGGTGTGCAGCTGCAGGGAGAGCCCTACAGTGCCACCTGTTGGTCACAAACAGAATCATGACACAATGGTCCCATACAACTCGTTCATTTCCGATACGATACCGATATCGCAACCTAGTATACTGTCCGATACGATATCAATTTGATACAATATCAGCAGGAATGATGCATGCTTTTTTTTTTTGTGTATGAAATGTTCGAAGAGACTTGATCAAGTGATACTATTTAAACAAAGTCAGCGACAGTAGGTATTGAGAAAAGACACAGCTGAATAGAAGAGTAGAAGCGGCGTCTGGAATGGGCTGCTTGTGCATGAGTACTAATATCGGAGATTGGGATGTAGACAGATATAATCCAATCCTTGTTTTTTGTTTTTTTTAATTTTTTTTTTGCTGGGACACACCTAAAAATAAAGCATACAGTTCAGCCTATGACAAATGTGGACTTCAATACAAAATCAAGAGATGACTATATGAATCAAAAGTATAAATACAGTACACATTTTACAACCAACACTAGTTAGAGACATTAAACATGGTGAGGGTCTGTTTATGTTATTTCTTGGGCGTGTAAGGCTGTTCATGGAATCTGTATGTACAAACTGTTTGTCTGCCTCCCCCGATATTTCTCGACCTAAAATGAATAAACTGTATTTCTTTGTATTAAGCTGCATTTTTCATGATTGGGGAGCTCAAATGTGATTTTATCTAAATACATTCATTTAGCATGGCAGTGGTGTAAAATAAAAGCACAAAACACAGCTTGAAGGGAAAGTGAACCTTTTTTTGGATTGAGATGTGGTTTCTGCTCTCATGACTGTTTCCTGTTGTTGAGGTGGTTCTTTAAGGGCGTGAGCAGGAGAGATGCCGAAAGGCAGCTGCTGGCCCCTGGGAACAGAGTTGGATCGTTCATGATCCGAGACAGTGAGACCAACAAGGGTGAGTCAAGTTTAGTGCAGTTGATTCAAAACTTAGCACAGCTCAAACTTCCACTAAAGCTAAATGTTCCAAACTTATTTTAGCACGAAATTGTGCAATTTGATTGATATCGAACTCTTGCATATTGTGACCCTCCTAAAATAATGCCCAAAGTCATTTTTTCTTTTTTCCCCCCGAAAACATGAAAAACCGAACATAATTCTGATTGTTATTTTTATGAATAATTTCATTTCTAGGGTAGAACTGAATGATCTGTTCAACTAGGGATGCGGCCCATTTTTGCAGACAGCCATCATCCAGAGGAGATGTTTAAAGCAATAATTAAAAAAATGCTTCTATTAATATAAGATGATGACAATATGCCTCCATTTTGGCGTGCAGGGAGATGTGTCACAATTCAAAGCAGTTTGTGTCGTGTCTGATATGCTTTAAATACCTCAAGGTTCAAAAATTATAGCACATTTACCCTCTATTCTTGAGCCTCGCTGAAATTTGCCTGTTTTGATGGACCAGTCCTGTCTCATCCAAATGAGCCACCGTTCAGCCCATCCCATCTTCCCAACAAGGAGTCCGGTTTTGGTTACCGTGTATAGGAGAAATTGAAGAGGTGTTTTTAAAATGCTCACAGTGGTGTAAAAAGTCGGGAAAGCAAGAACGAAGGGAGCTGTTTGGCTGACGGGGAGGAGCGCTGATGAGGCCACCTGAAGAAAATCACACAACAAGCAGAAAGGGAAGACATAATAACGGGAAATAACCAAACTGCGACCAAACACGTTGCACTATCAAGACACAAAAAAGAGAATTAAGCTACTGTGAAGTCAAACCCAAAGTCCAACATAACCACAAAAGATGAAAATGACAAACATGATGACTTTTAAAAAATATATGCATGAGCATGAATGGTCTTGTGGTTTCTTCTCACAGGAAGCTTCTCCCTGTCCGTCAGGGACAGTGATGGCCCATCTGGTGATACGGTTAAACATTATAAAATCCGTATGCTGGACAATGGAGGATTTTACATCTCTCCCCGGATCACATTCAGTACCCTGCAGGAGATGGTCAAACATTACAAGAGTGAGTATGATTTTCCTTAGTTTTGATCTTGAGGAAGTCGATCTAAACACCTAAACCATCTTTATGTGGTGACAATATCTGTTGTACTATCGGATGCTAAATTTGCACTCTCATCTGACCTTAACTGAACTATAAAACTTTTTGACCCAAAGATCGTTTGTGTTAATATGATAAAATCAAAATATACTGTAACAGGTCGTGTACGGGTAAATCAATTTCTCATTCCGTCCAGAGCAAGGCGATGGCCTTTGCCAGACCCTGACCAACCCTTGCCTGAGTCCTAAACCAGAGAAGCCTTGGGAGAAAGACGCCTGGGAGATCCAAAGGTCATCGCTTAAGCTGGAGAAGAGGCTTGGCGCTGGCCAATTTGGAGAAGTCTGGCTAGGTACAACACATTCAAGCACCTTTCCCACTCTGTGGTGATGTCTGTTTGGAGGGCGGCATTTCACTGTCTTGCGTTCAATGTTGTTATGTGTTCAGCTACATACAACAAACACACCAAGGTAGCAGTGAAGACCATGAAACCTGGGAGCATGTCAGTGGAAGCCTTCATGGCTGAGGCCAACCTGATGAAGACTTTACAGCATGACAAACTGGTGCGACTCCATGCTGTGGTCACCAAGGAGGAGCCCATTTATATTATCACTGAATTGATGGAAAAAGGTATGTGTAAGTCTTGTCATACTCGAACATGGTTTTAATTGTAGTTCAATCCAAAGAAGGAGAGAGAGAGTGACCCGCGCAACAAGCAGGTTGTTCAGTACATTAGCATTAGCACTGTTGTATTACATAACCAATAACTACAGATAGCTATCATTTAGATTTTGTTTGATTTGAAGTTTTGCATTTACTATGTGAAATGACATTGAGAGGTCAGGACCAAGAACTTTCTAAGCAGATATATGCCAAAAATGCCCTTTTAAATATGAACAAAATAAGTGCACACGTGCAAAATATGCCCTCTTAATTAATTTAAAATTTCACGTTTCATTTTTTGGCGGCACGCTGGTTGACTGGTTAGCACATCCGCCTCACAGTGGTAGAGGTCATGGGCTTCATTTCTGAGCCCCGGCCTTCCTGTGTGGAGTTTGCATGTGCTCCATGCCTGCGTGGGTTTTTTCTGGGTGTTCCGGTTTCCTCCCATATTCCAAATACATGCATTATAGGTTAATTGAACGCTCTAAATTGTCTGTCGGCTGATTGAACGCTCTAAATTGTGCCTCGGGGTGATTGTTAGTGTGAATGGCTGTTTGTCAATATGTGTGCCCTGCGATTGGCTGGCACCCAGTTCAGTACCCCGCCTGTTGCCCGAAAACTGGGAAGGGCTGCTGCTGAGATTAAAGGAATTAAGATGACTAAGCCCCATTTACATGGATTTACCTTTAAGATGTATGCCTGTGCTCATGTATGCAGGTAGTTTGTTAGACTTCCTCAAGAGTGATGAAGGCAGTCGCATCCCACTTCCCAAGCTGATCGACTTCTCTGCCCAGGTAATAGTCCCTCAGTCTCATTCAGAGCTTCAGCCGTCTAATTAGAAAATATCCACAGTTAATGTTGCAATGTGAATATGGCTTACGTTGGATTCGTTGAACCACACGCATAATGAGACCAAAGTAAGGCATGAAAGTGATTTTCCCACCGTAGTCATAATGTATGATTTAAGGGCAAAAAAAAAAGCTTATTCTGCTAATTGTATGACATTATTTTCTTTTCAATATCTTCCTAATAATCCTTTGTAGTTTATTGTTTCAATTCTAATCAACAGACAGCACATTGTAACATAACACAGATTGTGTAATGCTGTATCACTGCAGTGGTATCGCTGCAGTGGTAAACCAACAAATTGAAGCTAACAGAAACTGAAAAGTCTCTTCTGCAACTTAACTGAAAGATTTTTCATTTTGTCACACACAGCGCGAAGTTTTGGTTCTTACTCTTCCACTGTGACTTGTTTATTCCTAGATAGCGGAGGGTATGGCCTTCATTGAGCAAAGGAACTACATCCACCGAGACTTGAGGGCTGCCAACATCCTGGTCAATAAGGCTTTAGTATGCAAAATTGCTGACTTTGGCCTCGCCCGCATCATCGAAGACAATGAATACACAGCAAGAGAAGGTACGACATGCTACACAGTATTATTTAATTTTGTCTTCAATTAGCTGCCTGAATTTTAGTTTTTTTTTTCCACGTATGAGCTGGAATATTCTTTTATGGTTCTCCAGGAGCAAGATTTCCCATTAAGTGGACCGCCCCTGAAGCCATCAACTACGGCTGTTTCACGATTAAGTCAGATGTCTGGTCTTTTGGCATTTTGCTGACTGAGATCATCAGTTATGGACGCACACCGTACCCAGGTAACAACTTCGGTGTTGATGCAGCATACGCTGTTCCCCCCTATCCCCAATATCACAATTTATCATTCAAGTCACTATTGTCATTAAACAGTGGGTGGAGTTTTCTCTCTTTTGCTATTTTCGAAGATGCGTGCAGTTAGATCAGGGCGTTTGCGGCGGCCGTGAACACAGCCAACTTGCTTCCCTTTAAATTCAGTGCAGGTGGGGGGGGGGGGGGCGCATAATCTCCATAGCTGGAGCCCATGCAGGAGATCGATGTGCGCAAACGTTAATAAGGAACTGCAAAAACATTTCCACTTGCGGATGATATAACGTAGGACAGAGCGATCATAGGTCACCGTTGAGAAGCGGCCTTCATCTAACGACCACACAATCTTTGACAATGCGATAAATCCGTCGTGAGATTTGATTGCCATCGCAAATCAATCCACAGGAGTTCCGTCTCAATGCTTCTCAATGCTCAAGACGTTGTTATTTACCAAATTTCAATGGTGAATTTCATGAAGTGATTTGTATTTTCAGGGATGACCAATCCAGAGGTGATCCGTTCACTGGAGAAGGGCTACCGAATGCAGCGTCAGGACAGTTGTCCCAAGGAACTCTATGACATCATGCTAGAATGTTGGAAGAACAAACCGGATGACCGTCCAACCTTTGATTACCTGCAGAGTGTCCTGGAGGATTTCTACACAGCCACAGAGAGCCAGTACCAGCAGCAACCATGACTCACAAAGTCATCGTTTCTGTGCCACTTCATGATGTAGAGTATTTGTACAAAATCTTGAGAGTATTTTCCTATGTGTCCTTGTGTACATTCATCTGTTACCCCTTAATAACCTGATGTCTCAGCAGGCTGTGGACGAAATTTCTTGGGGAAAACAAACGCACCACTTTGACTGATTCCTTCATTTTCAGCGATTGTGTTATCAAAAGTCAAAGTCTCATGAATTGCGTGTGACTGCAATTTGCATCATTTTTTAAAATAGATTACAAAAGTATGTGGGATTATGAATAGTAAAAACAGTAGTGAAAGTTGAAAGGATAGTTCGTTGATCCAAATTTTAGAAAGAATGAGGCCTTTTTTTCTATTTACCACAACAAGCACTTCCCAATACATACTTCAACAGGTTTGACAAAGCGCTTTGTGCTGTTCATTTCAAACTGAGCATTCAACTGCATACTGGTGAGCAAAGTCAAAAGTTTAAAAAAAAATCTAAAACTATTAAGTGCTGGCTATCAACATTTCTTTGTCTTTGTGCCTTGTCCCATGCTTAAATTATATTTTGCTTTAGTTTTTCATTTGGGCAAGAAAGAAAGCTCAGTCACATACGGTACTATATTAGCCTTCATTTTGTTCTTTGGAAAAATAACTTATATTTTCATGTAAAGGCCAAATAAAGTGCTCGCATTAAGAGAAATATTAAACAATAAAAATGACTTTTCAATGGTCTTTTTGGAATGTTTATAAAGAAATGATGATTAACATGATGTTCATTCTATATGTAGAATCAAAAGCCCAGATTATTATTTTTTTAATGTTTTACCTTGTTTTGTTAGTGGCAATTCAAGGGAGTTTAATACTTTTCAAAGAACAAATTTGAATATTAAAGAGGCATTTATTGGTAGTCAGTAGTCAACTGGTTACCACATCCGCCTCACAGTGCAGAGGTGCAGGGTTCGATCCCGGCTCTAGCCTTTCTGTGTGGAGTTTGCATGTTCTCCCCGTGCCTGCGTGGATTTTCTTTGGGTAATCCAGTTTCCTCCCACATTCCCTAAACATGCATGGCAGGTTAATGGAGCACTAAATTGTCTCTTGGTGTGATTGTGAGCGCGAATGGTTGTTCGTCTGTGCAAGCCCTGAAATTGCCTGGCAACCAGTTCAGGGTGTACCCGACCGAATGCCAAAAGACATCTGGGATAGACTCCAGTACACCCGCGAACCTTGTGAGGATAAGCGGATATGAAAATGGATGGATGGTAATTCCAGAGGAACAGGAAGTTTGATTTAGACTTTAGTTCTTTATATGTGAGGAGACGACTCTACTCACATTCATTGCATGTTCTCCCCCTGCCTCTGTGGGTTTCTCCGGGTACTCCTGTTTCCTCCAACATTCCAAAAATATGTGTGGCAGGATAAATGCTCTAAATTGTCCCTCGGTGTGATTGTGAGAGCAGATGGTCGTTTGTGTGCCCTGCGATTGGCTGGCAACTAGTTCAGGGTGTACCCCGCCTATGGCTCAATGACAGCTGGGATAGGCTCCAGCACACCCCGCGACCCTTGTGAGGATAAGCGGGTCAGAAAATCGATGGATTTGCAAATGGAATGCACTTTCAAAACGCCATTGCAGAACATAAGCTCGCAAAGTCAGAAGCAATATTTTCACATATTCCTTCTCCATTGCTGTTGTGTTTCTTCTTATTTCAAGAATAGTTAAGAATACAAAGACGGTCTGTTGTGATCTCGGTTTGGGCAGAAATGAGCTCAGAAATTCGGCTTACCTGCTTGCTTATGCTTGACAACTACAGGATCCTGTCCTCCATCCATATTCAATCCAAGTGTGTTAACATGTCCTCAAGTGACACACACAATCCTGGAAATATGTGTTCCAAATATATATATATATATA